GGGTGTTACAACAACAAAGATAAAAAGCATTGTTTTCTTCACCCATGTCTGTTTCATAGAACTACCATTCAATTTTGATTTCGAGAGGAAAGAGAATCACTCTTACTCACTAACCCACCCACTCTATGATTCACCTACTTCCCTATCGCGTATAGGTGTGTTGGTTGCAGTACATGCCATTTGTGCCAGACTATAATAATAGTATTATTATAACGCTTAACCCTATCCGTACGTCGTGTTTTACTGTCGTATCCATACGACGCGGAGAACTCTGTGCCACTACTTTCAAGGGGGAAATTTACTCGTTAGGCTAATCCGATCCATACGCTTTGCATTGCAGTCTGTCAAATGATTTTTTTCAGAAAAAAATTAAAATTTCAAAGAGATCTTCGTACTAGAAGTGTTCTAAAATGTGAAGAATACAACCCCGGGAGTACAAAATGACCCCTGGGCATATGGATAGGGTTAACACGTGAGAATCGGTGGCGTCGGAAGCCTAGTGGTTAGACTACTGGACTCGTAATCGGACCTCAGCTCGGTCCGACATTGTGTCCTTGGGAACGGCACTTTACACGAATTCCCCACTTGGCCCGGTCCTTTCTGAGATGGATGTTAAACTTGGTGGTCCCGCCTCTTAAATGACTTAACAGTGAGAGGGGGAGGGGGGTGTAAACCTATACCATTTCACCATTTTATTCACGCGAGAATACATTGTATCAGCGTTTCGCTGGAACATCTTGGCAATTTTTTTTTTAAAAGGTGTACGTGTGAAATGGTGAAATGGTATGGGTTTAATGCCCCTATCAACACTATTAGGTTATTTAAGAGGGTATACGTGTATAATTGGCCTTTCTAATACAGCCGTAGAAGAGAATAGCACATTATTCTCAGCTCTGGGAATGCAACTTTGCTCAAATAGGTCTAAATTGATAGAGGAGAATTATGAAATTATCAATTCGCTATCGGTGTAAAAGACAAGATTGCTCTGCTTTTCAAGAAAAAAAATTATCACTTCGCTGCTATGGCACAATAGGTAAGTTTTGGCATCGGTGGTCTAGCGGTTAAGTTGTTGCGCGCGCAACCAATAGATGGTGAGTTAAAACTACATCATGGGCTTGACGTTGTGTCCTTGCGAAAGACACTTTACAGAAGTTTCTACACTTCACCTAAGGACAACTCGTGTTACAAGAGAAAGTCAGATTTGAATTACAAGCCAATGCATTTTCCCACAAACGACAGACTATAAATGATTTGCATATCTCTGTATAGCTATGCATATAAATATATGTCACAACGTGGTGGAATCAGGCGCTCGTCAATTCTTGGGCATATGGGGTTATTGGTATCCATTGCTAAACATCCATTCATTTTTAAATATTTATACATGTCACTCAAGTTAATTGTCGCCCGTGAACTATTCTCACAAAGGTGCTATGGTCTGTCGTTTTGTCTGACGGTGTTATTTACTGGTTTTGATATTTTGTCAGATACCGAATACTGTGAAAAATAATGGGTAACTTTGAAAACAAAAACTACACACTTAAGGACTCTTTTCAAATTGTGCACCACATCAAAATGTTGTTTCTCTTTAATGATTAACCATGCTTCCGGTCAATGAATCGGAAAGAAATCAAAGTGTTAAAAATAGTCGGTGCCTTGAGGTGGGCACTCCGATTTTAGCAGCCACGAGAAGGATCAGCGTGAGCAGACACACTGTGTAGATCTATGCGACACGAGATCTTTTGGCAACAATGGGCTCCCAAAAGGACAGACTCAAGTAAACAGGACGCAGAAAGACAACACATGGGGGAGAGAGAGAGAGAGAGAGAGAGAGAGAGAGAGAGAGAGAGAGAGAGAGAGAGAGAGAGAGATAGACAGAGAGAGAGACAGAGAGAGAGAGAGACGCATTCGTCCGAATGCAACGCTTGATAAATCTATTTCAAACGGCCAATACAGAACCGAAATGAGACGAAGAGAGTCAGAAATGGCAATCCGAGCTCTGCCATGACTGTTCTTCCTCGTTTAAAAGAGGGATACTTCGTGCTAGGTGCCCAGCTTGTCGCATAAAACTGCACCCTATCACATCCAGCACAATATACTTCACTGGGCACAGCGTCGCGTGAGAAGGCCACGTGGTATTCGGAATAGGCTATGTAAGATACATGTCTCCAGTTTACTTCAGAGAAGAAACAAAATCAGTTTCTCTAAGCTAACAACATTCCTCTCCTGCAGCCATAACCTGCGCATTCACCAAATCTCAGTCCAATTGATCACTTTCGGGACATTTTAGATCGGACCATTCGTGCCAGACCACGTCAGCCCGAACTCTTGTTCAGTCAGAACAAGCCTTAATTCAAGAGTGAAATAGTTATAGTATCCCCCAACAGACAATAACTCAACTCATTCATTCCATGAATTGACTATGTCATGCTATAATCAACGCCAGAGGTCATCACGCTCACTACTAAAACTGTTACTCTGCATTTAGACCCCTGACAACTGTAAGTTCAAAATAGATAATAAAAAACGTTCTTCTCTTTGCATTCAACGTGTTTCACTTGTTGTAAAATGAATCCACAGTTTTATCTGATATTTTCCGACAGATTTGGTGACTATTAACCAAGAAATTGCCCTTGCCTTAATATGAAGTGTGAAGATAATGTTAAAGATTAAAGAGTAAACGTATAGATATAGATATATTATATTTAT